ACAGTGTTGAGCCGTCGGGCAAACGTCGAGGCCCACCAATGCAAGCGTCCGAACGAAACGGATGCCCTATCCACAGCATTTCCGATTCCATTTTCATGTTCTAATGTCAATCCAAACTCACGCAATGTGTGTGAGAGGCACCTATTTCAGAAGTCCAACGGCCGACGCCCGGTTCGGGAAACGAAGTCCAGCGCAAGGAGCACATGCCTCATTGCCCCGTGCATGATTCCGATTCCGCCTTCCGAGCCCAACCGCCTATTCCTACAGGGCGATGGGGAGACTGCGGCATCGGTGCCGTGCCCTCATTTTCTGCAGGGCAAACGCGTTCTTGAAATCTTGCCTTCTTGGGAAGGACCGCCACTCATGAGCATCGCCCCATGCGCGTGCCAAACTGGGGATCCCAGCATGGGATTCAGAGTCGCAGATCCGGACTTGCCGGCCCAGAAAGTAACAGCTGACATACGGCTAGACAGCCTGCACATGCTGCTTCTCAATGTTCTCGTCCTCGCCTGACATTTGTTGCTTTCTCAGAGAAGGAAGTTTGTGGTGCTCACTCCTGGCCTTTCCCATCAATGTGTGGCATATACTACCAGTTCCAGGACGGCCAAAAAAAATCGATTGGGGCCTTGTTTAGTTCAGGGTGAAATCAGTATTCAGCGCTGTAACATTTTCGTTTGTATTTGATAATTATTGTCCAATCATAGCCTAATTAGGCTTAAAAGATTCGTGTCGTAATTTACAATCAAACTATGTAATTAGTTATTTTTTATCTATATTTAATACTCTATACATATGTCAAAGATTTAATGTGATGGAGAGAAAGTGAAAAAACTTGGAATCTAAACAAGGGCTGAATTAGAGGTTGGAGCCTGGGAGGAAGTACGATAGGAGGGCAGCGGCAGCGGAACTCAAAAAATGTTTTACCAACTTACTAGAGGCCGTTAGATTTTTTTTTTGCGGGCAATTAATTTTAAGCCGTGTCTAAGATTAGGTATTTAGGTAGCCACAATATTAGTAGTACACGCAGTATTGGATACTTGACACAGCTCTTTCTCTAACTTCTTAGCCACCTGACATCCTGATCCATCAAGCATAGACTCTGTTTTGTTATCTAATCTTGTATCATTTTTGCCACAAGACTTAAGTGTGTGTTTGGTAGTGATTCAGATATGCCTTGTTCGGCTGGTCTATAAGTCGCTTGTGCTGATTTGTACGGCTGATTTGTTGTGAGAGAAAAATTATGTACCATGGCTGATAAGCCGGCTTATAAGAGCAGCCGAACAAGGCCTAAACGTTTTGGATTCAGTTTCTTCTTAGAAACGTTTCTTCTGGTGAATCATAATCGCTTTCTCAAATCGTTTGGCTAGCCGTCTGGATTCTCATTCTTAAAGGATGGCGGAAATCATTGTTCTACATGAAAAAAATCATAAAAATATATGAGTTTTACAAAAGAATAGTATTTTTTATGGGTTTGGTTTCACTTAAAGAGAATCAATAGAAAACATTTCGGGATTAGAGGGAAGGTAGGAAAGCAAGAATACCCTAGATGTGATTTTGATCTCTAAGAATCACTAGAAATGTTTTTTTTTACCTAAAATCAATATTGTCTTTAACCGCTTGACGGGTTTCAGAGTTGTTTGTCACATCCAAACGGCCTACCTGCCTTAGTCAAAGGCTCAAAGATTTGTCGCAAACATATTAGGGCTTGTGTGACCCATGCCCTAAAGAGGAACTAAGTATTCTTAGCCTTCAAAAAGAGTATAGATCCGATTGCACACGAGGAGCTAAGAAAAAAACAGTAAACACGAGAAAAAGTTCAAAAATCTCTCCTAGCTTCAAAGGGCATAATAAAAAGCAACAGAAGCAATATCCAAGAGCCATGCTAGGCACACAACGCATATGGGAGTGGGGGTGAGTTTTGATATGAGAGAGAACCATTGTTTGGTCCATCATGCCATCATGGTACCTCTAGTTGGTTTTCCTAGAGGAACTAAGGATTGCAGTGAGTTTTGCTAAAGTTAGCTTTGTAAATAGTCTTCTTGTGTGGAGTTATACATACTAAGCATGTCCGACGTGTTGTTGACACATGGCCTTACTTACCTATGTTTTGCTCACCACAAGGCATGTGATGATGAGTTAACAACAATGGAATCATTTACTTCATTAATGAGACAGAAACAACGCTTAGCTTTGTCTAAAAAAAATCACATAGGTATCCTTTTATTTTCTTAAGTCAACAGGACAAAACATAACTGTTTTACTACCACTGAAATGTCCATTTGCATGAAGCAGTGAGAATACTTACACTAGCTCTTAAATAAGTAACAATTTTAGGTCCCAGGTTTATTAAGTTCACTGTAAGGGCACCTCTAAGAATTGAACTAGCAAACTAACTCATATTTTGCTACATCAATTTAAAGATAGTGCATAATACTAGCTTTTCAGTAATCTAATTATAAGCATCTTACTATGGGTTCCATATCATTTCTTTTTCCTCACCCGTATCTCACCATGCACGGTCCCAAAAACAGTCTCGTAGTTCAATCAGGCCTAATTGGGGAATAAAAAATAGCTCTTTCTTTTCTCTTCTTTTTTCACATAAGCAAAATATTAAGATGGATCTGTAAGTTAGTTGAAATGTCACTGTTGGAGCTGCCCTAAGAGTATAGAGTGCTAGGTTGTGAACTTGTGATAAGCCTTTTGTGTTTGTGCATATGCACATGTCAAAAACGCACTTTATTTACTCGTCGACATGGGAGATAAATGTAAGGCCAAGCCCAAACTATTAATGCGGAAATGGCAGTGCCTGTGAATGAAAAATACAGGAAAATAACATATGCTGCCAAAATCGAGCCGGCACTTGATTATCCGCCTATAATTGCGCATCGTTACATCATGTCAGTTCAAAATTTGATTTGCTTGGATCGATCTTTTGCAATAACGAGGCCATCAACACGTTGGTACCTGCTATGCGCCCTTTTTGTTTGGGCTGGTTTGGCTTATAAGCCATGGCTTAAAGGACTGTCGGCTGGTTTGGTGTGAAAGAAAAATACTGTTTATTGGCTGATAAGCAATGATTTATAAGCCAAATACGACCGAGCGAGGAGGCAGATGATTATCTAAGCACCCAGTCATGAGATCATCTCATCAGCAGTGTTGACAGCTGCGCCTGTATACTAATCCTCCTGCTCATTTACTCCTGGCCACGCCCCGAGTTTGATGCTGTCGATGTCGGTTGTCCGTGTCCCCCTTCCAGCCTCGAACTCCTGGCTACTATTTCTACGCGAATCGATTCTGAGCTGAGCTCCCCTTTGTCTGAACTCTAAAGTAAACGAAGTATACTCGTCAAGGTAAGGAATTCTTATGGTCTACTGCAATTATTTTTTGTAATTCTGAAAAAAAAAAGATTTGTGAAACTCTGTCATCATCTGATTGACTGATCCACCGGACTTTCAACCGAAAAAAAAGAGAGAGAAAGAGGAAGGATACGTGTATGAATGATGCGCTGAAAAAACTTGGTGTATGAATGATGCGCTGAAAAAACTTGGACCTGCCTACCCCGTTCAACAATCAACGATCAGCAGCCGGGTCTGCCGCCGACCGCTCATCACCGGTTCACCGCGACGCGATCAATCCAGCCCCCGCTCCTGAAACGGGCCGCCTCTCACGTGGCCGCAGCTTGCACGGAATTTTTCTTTCCGCAGTCCCCCACCCCACCAAATCCACAGTCCCCCGGCGCATGCAGGCACCGAGCAACCGCACCCCCGCCCATTTAAAACCCGGCCCTCCACGCGCCGGTCGGCCGCCGGCAGGCAACCCACCCGCCCACGCACACGACGGGGGGCCGTCCGCGGCCGCGCCCCTCCCGCGCCGGGCCGCCGGCACACACAACAAACAAACGGCCACTCACAGTCCCAGTGCCCGATCAAAGAAAACCAGCCAAAACCCCGCGCCACCCGAGCCAAAACCACCGCCGTTGACCCCATCTCACACGCCCTGTCCGCACTCCGCACCAGGCTCGAAACGCACGGACCCTCCTCCCGCGCTCCTCCCACCCACGAGTCCACGACCCGCCATTTGCGGCCCTCGCCTGCCGCGACGACGCGCACAATGCTACACGTAAACAAATCCAAGCCGGCTCCGTTTTTTCTCTCTCTCTCTCAAGTATATCCGTTTCCATTCCCACGGCGTGGCCTCACTTCGCTGTTCGCTTTCGTTCTCTACTTCCACGACGATCACCCCCGTCCTCGGCGGTGGTGGCCTTGGTATTAATTGCGCCATGTTGTGCCAGGCCTTCTTCCATTCCGTTCCCCTCTGACACGGATTTCTTTTCCCGGCCTCGGAGTCCGCGCCGCCCGCCGCGTGCCCGAGATGCTGTCCGCCAGGCCGAGGTGAGTGAGAATTCAGCAGCCGAGACCCTGAGTCCTGACTGGCTGGTTGGCACTTGGCAGTGGCAGCCCGCCCACGCGCGCGAGCGCGCGCCTCCCCTTCTTCCTTCCGTGTCTATAGATCCTTCTTTCCCGGCTCTGCTCGGGTGTCGGGAATCTCTCCGTTGCCACTCCCTCCCTGTGTCTGTGCGTTCTTTTATTGTTTGACTATTTAGCCCGGCGATACGGTTTCATGAGCTGGGATTCGCCTCGCAGATCCGGCTCCTTCGAGGCCGGGCTCAGGGGTGCCGCCACGGCCACCGCCTCGTCCGTTTCCAGAGACCGCAAGCCGTCGTCCCCTCGCCTGCAGCGCAGCCGCTCATCCGCCGGCGGTTCCAAGGCGTCCCCGTCACCGGAGGTACTTACTGCCCTGCCCTGCCTTTTTATTTTGTTGCCATCTCTCACGTTACGTTACGCACGAAGCCGACGGCTTTGGAATGGAGTGATCACCGATCAGGGAGGGGCGCCGGCCGGTATATATTAAGGACAGGACATTATAAACTTCTTGTTTCTAACGGCGGCGGCGGCTCTTGGTGGTCTCCTGCTCGGCAGAGGCGGCGCGGCGTGGGCGCGATGCAGCAGCAGCGGGTGGCGCAGCTGGAGGAGGAGCTCCGGCGGGAGCGGGAGGAGAAGGCGCGGGCCGTGAGGGAGCTCGAGGACCTGAGGCGGGACGGCGAGGACGGCGCCAGGGGCGTCGCGGAGAAGGTTCACCTTCTGGAGCGGGAGGTGGACAAGTCCAAGGAGTCGGAGCGCAAGATGCTGGAGTCGCTGATATACCAGACGAAGCAGCTGGAGCAGACCAAGATCTCGCTCGAGGAGGCCAAGCTGGAGATCACCACGCTGCAGCAGGCGAACAGGAGCCTTGAGGCCGCGGCCGCGTCCGCCCGAGGGCGCGGCGTCGGCGTGGGCGGCGTGGAGCAAAGGACGAGCGTCAGGGACCTCATGTTCGGTGGCGCGGACGAGGAGATCAGGGTCCTGCGCGGCGAGCTCCGGACGGCGATGCAGGGCGAGGAGAGGAGCCGCAAGGCGCTGGACGACCTCTCCGTCGCGCTCTCCGACGTCACCATGGAGGCCAAGCAGGTCAAGGTCTGGCTCGGCGAGGCGCAGGCCGAGCTGGAGGCCGCCAACGCCGAGGCCGAGCGGCTGCGCGCGGCGCTGGCCGACGCCGAGGCCGAGCTGCGCGCCGTGTCCGCCGAGCGCGACCGGTGCAGGCTCGAGGCCGACGAGTGCGTGGCGGCGTGGGGCGACAAGGAGCGCGTCTTCCTCGACTGCGTGCGCGCGTCCGAGGAGGACGTGAACCGGGCGCGCCAGGAGAACACCAAGCTGGTCGAGTCGCGGCGCGTCATCCGCGACGAGAACGCGCGCCTGCGGGACATCCTCAAGCAGGCCGTCGCCGAGGCCAACGTCGTCAAGGACTCGCTCGAGCTCGCCAGGGCCGAGAACGCGCGCCTCAACGACGCCGTCGCCGACAAGGAGAGCGCGCTGCAGAGCCTCCGCCAGGAGTACGAGAGCATCAAGGTCAGCGAGGCCGCGGCGCAGGGTAGCCTCAAGGAGCTCAACAGCCTCCTCGCCGCCACGACGACGACGGCGTGCAGCACGCCCGCGTCCGCCAAGACCGCCCCCGCGCCGGACTACGGTTTCGACCAGCGCCTGCCAAATGGTATGGGCAGCAAGAACGGGACGCCGCAGTCGGCGTCGCAGCGGTGGATGGCAGACAAGCCACGGACGCCGAGCAGGCGGAGGTACTCGATCGGCGAGCCGGGCAAGCTGAAGACGGGCCTCTCGCAGTCGGCGCGGATGGGGAACCTGAACCCCAAGGACCGGGTGTTCGCGTCGCTGAGCAACATTGCCGACCTCAAGTCCGCAGCAGACGCGGCGATGGAGGACTTCGACGACGAGTTCGATCACGTCGACGAGAGCCACTACGTTGACATGGAGGATTCCACGAAGCACAAGAAGAAGAGGCCGATATTCCGCAAGTTTGGTGATTTGTTCAGGAGGAAAAGCTTCTACAAGCCAAATTTAGCGCCAGTACACACACTATAAATTTTTTCTCGATATACTGCTTGTAGTTGTGTACTTCTGTTCTGTTCGTCTGAATACACGAGAAATGAAAAGTTGTTGAATCAGATATGCATTTTTCTTGTGTTGAAATTTCAACTGTTTCTAGAGCCTAGCATTTTCATGCTGAAAATTCAACAGTTTAGTCATACGGCTGACACAATGATTAAAAGGGTCGAATCTGAATATCTAAAGGTGATGGAATAAGATTGGAAGAAGGTGCAACTTTGGATACGTTTCGGCGTAACCTTTTTGACATTTACACTTCTAGAACCATAACGGAAAGCCAACTGTTGCTAAGGCGGCCATTTGTCAGTGCAGATAATTAGGACGGCATATTCTCTATCATGAACTTTAGGCGTTTGCTCTGAGCCTTCATCGTAACCACAAGTCTTTCGCCTAGGCATCTGCTCTGAACCTTCACATAACACAACTTGGAAATGAAATGAACTTGCACAGCGTTTTTCTCGTTTGCCTAGCACGCAATGCCAAGAAAGGAGCACATAAGCAGGGTAGGCTCTGCCGATACGCATTCTTAGTCCTACCTTGTGATCTGTTGTTGCTTTCATTCGCATTCCAATGCCAAGAAAGAAACAAATTTATTGACGTGGTAGCGTTATACTCCTTTCAACATTGAACTAGAAGAGATCCCACAATATGTTTCTTTAATCTAGTATTATGATTATATGGTATGATTCTATGAAGTCGCATGCTTTGATGCCTCGCCAACAATCCTTTCAGTACAGAAAGCAACCTTTTAAGTCCAGCCGATGTCCATAGCTCCGAAAGAATTTGTCTTCTTATCCATCACCTCACGACCAGTGAAAAATGCCACGTAAATGCTGTTTGCACATAGATATAAAAAGGGGCCCAAAACAGAATGGACGGGGCTAACCTGTTCCTAGCACTGTGGATTGTTTGGTTGTTTAGAGCCCATCTGGCTATCAATATCACCACTGACAAGGCAGGAGAACAAAGAGAGCAGACTTTTCAGTCTTTCTCCATGCTTCATTAGATCAGGCAAGCAAATCATCTAGTATCAAGGCTTTCTTACAACTTCATCTAAAAAAGGCATCTTTAATCATTTCCACACTTTCAAAAGGCACCGGTGCTCACTTCTGCTTGAATAATGATCGAGCAAATCACGGCGCATGGCTCCTGACGTAAAACGAGTGAGTTAAGCTTCGTGCCTTCAGTGCTGCAGGCTGCAGCACGAAGTAAAGATGAGCTCCTTTCGGCGTCAGCTTCTACTCAAGGGCCCTTGCCGGTTTTCTTTCGACTGCTTCCTCCTCCTGCCTGTATGTAAACAAAGTTGCACGGCTGACCGTTCACCGTTCTTCCGCAAACAAAAAGGATCAATCAGCGACTGGGATTTGTAACGTGTATCCTCTTGGTGTCACCGACCCTTCGACAGATGCTGAGAAAAGCCGTGAAAAAGCTTAGAAAAACAAACAAAGCTTTCACTGCATCAGACGTGATCCTAGGCCCGTTCCTAAAGAGTCTTGTACTTTCAGTTAGCAGTCAATGGCATCATGAATCATGAGTGATGGGAAAAAAAATCTGCGGATATCATATGATGCTGCCTGGCATCGTACATCGTACTAAATCACCTTTACTTTGTTTCTTGAAAATCGCTGCTGGTAGACATGGTGTTGTTAAGCAATTGAAAGGCATTAATTAAACTCTCCTATGAGTAAATGTTGTTGATACACGCTGATGAGACCAGAAGGGCGTCGATTTTATTTTAGTTTAGTTTAACTGAGCACGCCTTTGTCGACCTCTTGGCGAATTTGGTCTGTCAGCAGTGCGTGAGCGTGACCAACCGAACACACATACACACACAAAAGAAAAATTCAATCTGAACTAAACAGGTTGCTGATCAACGTAGTCGGAACGATTTTTGTCACATCTTTTTCGTGTGTAGTATTAAGATTTACGAAAGATGCCTGAAGGCCGCTGAGTTCAGCCAGGTTAGTCAGACTTGACCTGACCATTCTGTTTATATTTCTAAAACAACATCTTGACAGCTCCCGGCCATTCCATCATTAACAGCGCGGCAGTCTTTAGCGTTTGGATGCGCCTGTGATGCTCGGGTATGGATTAATTAATTTTTCATATTAGAAAAGAATTGGTGCGAATACAGTCAGGAACTCACTAGCAGGGCTAGGTGTGGTGTGATTCATGGTCGAATCAACAAACGGGTCAAGCTCACAGGTAAGACATAATCATGTAAGGATTTAAAAGTTAAATCGCGCAATGAGCTTGACGTTTTTTGGATTGTCCGGAACTCAGTAACGATGGAAAGAGAGGAAGCCGTCAATTAGCGATGGATGAGAATGGTGGGTTGGTCTGGTACGCGGGAACAATCGGGATGGAAGAGGAAGACCGGCCGGTCAGTCAAGGCTGCACTGGTAAAATGCGTTGGTCGTGGCGCGTGCCAAAAGGACGCCACTTTCGGGTCTTTTTAAACGAAAATGCAGCCTTCCTTTATTTTTTAAGAGCGAATGCAGCCTTCTCGCGCTGTTACTCAGCGGTTTGCCGGCCTGCCTCCTGTCGGTAACGGGCTGGCCTCTACTGAAGCATGCAAGCAGAAATGTTCTGCTGCCGCCGAAAGATAAAGCGGCACATCGATACAACACCGTACCACAGCATGCAGAAACACAAAAACCTCAGCACAATACAATGCAACCGTTGCTGACACAATCACACAATATAACGAAGTTCACAACTTAATATATCAATTCGAGGTTCAGATAACCCATGAGCTTGATGGGCGAAACCAGCACCGAGACAAATACAACAATTATAGATTCTACAAACATAGTAGTAAGATTGCAGCACTTCCCCTACCACTAGTCCACTACGAATGAACATTAGAGATCAAACACCCACAAATGTCAAGCACCACAAAAGCAAAGCATCGAACAGATGCACACCATACTACAAGAGCCACTCCCAGTACCAGAAACTAAGCCCTCTCGCCACGGATCCTCCTTGCCAGCTGAATGTCCTTGGGCATGATGGTCACGCGCTTGGCATGGATGGCGCACAGGTTTGTGTCCTCGAACAGACCCACCAGGTATGCTTCCGCAGCCTCCTGCAGCGCAAGGACTGCATGGCTCTGGAAACGCAGATCAGTCTGCACAAATACAACAGGATGAGAAATAAGCTTCTATGTTTACTTCAGAATTGCAAGATTACATGAGTGAGCACAAGAGACAGTATGAAAACAAATCTCACCTTGAAATCCTGGGCAATCTCCCTGACAAGCCTCTGGAATGGAAGCTTCCTTATGAGCAGCTCAGTGCTCTTCTGATACTTGCGGATTTCACTGCAAAGTCAGCGATAACAATTAGGATTTTGTCAATAGGGCACACTTATTTCAAGCGTGAACTGTAAACGATCAAAGAATTATTTATCACGCACCGAAGAGCAACAGTTCCAGGGCGGTAACGGTGAGGCTTCTTTACTCCTCCAGTTGTGGGTGCAGACTTACGGGCAGCCTGTCAAATAACAAAACTAAATTAATGATTGTTTTATTAACAAAACTAAGATGCCCTACTGTCCAGTTCATACACACAAAAGGTGAAGTATGTACAGCATAACTAGAAACAGTAACAAAAAAAATGGTATAAAAACAGATTACTAAAAACAAACCTTAGTGGCAAGTTGCTTCCTAGGAGCCTTCCCTCCAGTGGACTTGCGAGCAGTTTGCTTAGTACGAGCCATGAGTCACCAAACTATGGTTTACCTGAAAACTGCAACAAAAAAAAAAAAGTAAAAGGTTAGCCAAAATCCTTAGAATACTCCTGACAGACCAATTCACCATGCAGAGGTTTAAAACAACACCAACTTAGAGTTCTACTGCACGATGGAGCTATAGAATAATTTTCTTGTAAAATATAAATTCTAAATAATAAACCTCAACCTGATCCTAATACAAAAGAACAACATTGGAGAGGTGATCCACTATGAACAGTATTATTACAGCTATGAATCAGGAAAAGCCAATCTGAATAGACAGATAATGTAGCCAGATCACTGTCCCATCCTATCACAAATCAAATGATACAAAATATCTTGATCCTGTCTTTCAACAAATTGATCATCCATAAAACAAAAATGTGAACCACCCCCGATGTGAAATATGAATACTAAATTTCATATATTTGTCACATTAACAGGTGTTATGCAGGTTTGGCAATTTTTTTCAATAAGGAACAAAGCAATTAATATCAACATTGCTGCTTTCATGCAGCAATACACAAACACATATAAATTACACCATGTGCATTAGTTTAAGCAATACCAAACACCAGTAGAATTATTGTTGCACAATAGTTAAAGACAACATTCAAGAGACCCACAAGAACATTCTCACAGTCCGATGCCTAACTATAAAAGAACAAGGTTTGTTGAATCCAATGATCAGGGATGATATAATAGTATCAGCTAAACTACATCTTTAACCATCAGTTGTAACGATATGGGTTAGCCGCATCTCAGTAGCCTAAGTTCTTCTAATGAGGACATTTACAAATTATTACAAATCACAAAGCATACACGCGAATTATTCAAAAATTAATACTACTATAGCCCATGAAATCGATACTTGCGGTAAATGATTTATGCCTAAGACACAGACCATGTATACTGGCAAAATCATGGGATTGGCAACCGCGCATTACGATAGTACTTTCCAAACGCAAAAATCCGCAGCCAATAAGCACAGGCAACCACATGTACACGAGATTAAGCATGAGAGAACCGAAAATCCCACAGAACAACCATACCCTAACCCTAATCATGGAACCCTAATCGCGACAGATATTCGAATTCGCGGCGAGCGCCGCTGGGAGAAATTAGCAAGAACCACGAACGAATCATCAACTACAGGAATCGAAAATTCGAAATACGGTATCGAAAAAGCATGATTACCTCGAGCGCCTCCCAAATCCCAAATCAGCGGAGAGCGGTTTGCGACCCGCGAGGCTTTCTCCCCCAACCTGAGATTAGAACTGGCGATTAAAGGCGGCGGTTGGGTAGGGATTTATATATGGGGCAGTCAATGCTGGTGGTTTAAACGGACGGTGCGGATCGGGCGCTTTTGGGCTTGGCTTCGCACGATCGGACGGCCGATGATGGCCGTTTAGCTGTGACACGGATCAGGGAGGGTAAAGCTCGCGCTCCTATTGGTTGGGACCTGGAGGACGGGGATCTTGGATTAGTGTTGATTAGTGGGGTGAGGACGCCGTGTACGGCCGAGATTTTTTGTACCTACAGGAAGGCTAAAGGCGATGTTCGTCTGTCAGCTGACCTGTGGGTCACATTTTTTCTTTTTTCTTTTGGGTGTAAAGATTTTTGTCTTTTTTTTAGTGGAAGGTCACATTTTTTTCGTGTGATTGAAGAACCGTTGCGGGTGTGGTCGGGGGCCCAGAGTGTATCAAGGAGACAGAGAAGGTACTGGGCCGGCCTGCTAAGCATATGCACAACTACACTTGCAGTCCCTCCCCCTCAAAAAAGTTACACTTGGGTTCCCCGTCAAGCCTAGTAAGCGAATCAAAGCCCAAAATGGCATGGTCTCCTTCTCACCAGCCAGAACGAACAGAAGAAGTGCCTCAGGCCAGAACGATAATGGGCCATACTTACACCAAAGTGTCTCAATATTTATTTTTTAATAATGAATAATGAAAAATACTCCGGCTTCTACCTCGTTTTTTTTGAACTGCTTCTACCTCGTTTTTAGAAAAGAGGCCTCAAACCACGGCTATTACAAATATGTGGAAAGTTCGAACCAAAATGTTTTACATTATCAGAATTGCTATTTATCTGTCAACATATTTAGATTTTTGTTGAAAAGATTGTCTGCTTTTGACCGTTGGGTGCCAAATCTACTATTCAAATCTATTTACTGTTCCAACATTATCTTCTTCTCCTTCCCATAGCTACCACTGTGGATGCCAAAACCCAGCGACATCGAGGCCCTCCTTGAGCACCACCTCCCCTTACACCCCACAGACTACCATTGTGAGCATAGCGACACTGGGTCTTGGTTCCTCGAGCCCACGACCTCCTTGCTCGCCATGCCCCTGGAGAAGGCGTGGAACATTGAGCGAGCGAAGCGTCAACGGGTGCTCAAAGTAGTCATCGTCATAGGCTCACTGTTCCTCGGGGATGGTAGTGAGTGTTGTGCCCCACAGGATTTTATCTGGTCAAAACAGAAGATTTCGCTCTAGTCGAAGTTAACCTTAAGACCTGATAATTGTTCAAAAGTACAAATTAAAGAAGAAGCTTCATGTTCTTTCATCGTTCAAAATCATGGTCTACAAAGATATTGTGTCATCTGCATGTTGTAAAATGGACACCCATGCTCCACTAGATGTGACACTAACCCTCTCACTTAATCATCTTCTTTTTCCCCTAGCTAGGATGATTTCCAACATTTACCCAGACAAGGGTGGCCTGCTCCTCGAGCGGAAGCACCGTCCACGCTGCCCAAAATATTTTTGGCCATTGAATTTTCGATTGGACGGTCTAGATTTATTGAAGCGGCTTCCTAGCGAAGTAGCTTCTCGTCCTGCTTCTCACCTTATCTTCGACTTCTCTTCCGCTTCTTTAACTTCTGATCTGAATCCGGTGAAACGAATATATACACGGCTTCTACTTCTCTATCCAGATTATTCTTTACTCTTCCTCTCTCTCACGGTCCATTTCTCCCTCTCCACGGACGCGGTCACGGGCGACGGCGCCGACAGCGCAGGGCGGCGGCGGCGGCATCGGCCTCCTCCTCTCCACCCACGCCGTCCTCTTCCTCCTTTCTCCCACGTCGTGCCCTCCTCCTCCTCTCTCCTGTCTCTCTCTGCTCGCTTTGCTCTCCCTTGCATGGTCATGCCAACGGCCTTGGCCTGCGCTTAGCGAGGCGGCGCCTCTCCCACCTCCATCCCGCCTGCGTAGCTACATCCTGGTGGCGCCTCTCCCATCTCCATCCCACCGGCGTCGCTGCTTCCTAGCGCCGCCGCCTCCTCCCTCTCCTCCGCGTGTCTTGTTGTGCTACAGGAAACCCTAGGTATGTCTTGATTTGTTAATTTGTATAGTTGAGTTGTGCTACTTTTTTACATGGGAGGCTGCGGCGCTTGAACTAGGTGAAGATACATTGTCTCTCTTTACCGTAGAGATCCTTGCGTAAACACACATCCACGTCACCTAAATGTTTTCGGCTATGAGATCTTTGATTGGATGGATGCGGTGTGTTTTGTTCAATGAATCCCTAGCAGCCCATTTTGTGTGTACTATTTGTTTAGGTTGACTACCTGTTTTATGTAGGTTGGATTTATGTAGGTTGGATTCATGATTCGATTACTATTTCAAACTATTTTATTCAGTTGGATTAAGTGATTCCTCCACTATTTGAGAGGTCTGTTTGTTTACTTAACAATTTAACTTATTGTGCCTATTTATTATTGTCTATGCAAATCACATGTAGATAAATTGTGATGTGCCGTGTAGGCACAATATGAATACTTTATGTGCGGTATCTTTCTTGCATGCCTCCTCCTTCTGTTGTTATTTGTTTTCTTTTCTTTTTTCACAATGCTATTTCTCGTTACGTGTTACACAATGTTATTATTTCTATATATTTCCTTGATTTCAACTAGGCTCATATTTCTTTTAGATTTCAGCTAGACTCCTTAAAGAGGTGTATTTTCCATCCTTTGTTTTCCAAAGGTTAAAGAGGTGTATATTCCTTCCTTTGTTTTCCAGGGTACGCTTCATCTAACTCAGACTATAAGCTCTTTTTTACATTTTAGCTACTCTGCTCAAACAAGGTATATGTATATATAGTGGTTCTTTGAAGTTCGAATATATGGTACCATCTACAATTCTAAAATATTTGAGTCTAAGTACATTTCACACTATGAGAATGAGAAGCAATTTCAAGCCCAGGCAATTCCAATAATTACTGGTCCTACACACAAAAAAGAGGTTCAACTCCAATCGATCAGCTATTTAGTCCATTGCATTTGCTTAAAAAAGTTGGGACTCTTATCTACGATTGTCTCCATGTTATTGCTTTTTATTATTGGACCACAAACATTATTTCTATAGTTCTTTTCATACACATCAGTTCATTATGTTAATGAAGGTCAATGTCATCCTGTCCATATTTTTAGGTTCATCAAGTGCAGGGGCAAAGACAGTAAAAAGATTTAGCACATATTTTCAGGTTCATTCCTATCATATTGTCTCAATTTGGTTAGTTCATGGTTTCATCTGTGATTCGTATTTATTTTGGTGGGTTCAAGTTTGATTTCATACATGTTCAATATTGAGAATAGTACTTTGCCATTTGTACAGTTTTGCAGTGCACAGAGTTTTCCTTAGAGAGTCAAGATTCATAGTTTTGGAGTGAGTTCGTAACAAATCTTTTTCCAGGATTGGCACTGCGGACAAAGTCAAAGGCACTACCTGTTGCCTTGCCACGCTTTGGTCTGGTATATTTTCCCTACCTGCAAATGCTATTCGAATTCATATATAATCAACATATCTTTTTAGCTAGCAATAATGCATTCCGTTTAGTACCAAATGTTTAAAACTCACACCTACCGATAGATTGGTTGCAGTTCATTTGAAGATTGGTTGTTCCTTTACAATGGCAAGGCCAATATAGATTAAGCTATTGTCATTCTGCGCAGTCCCGGTAGAAACCTTGCTTGGAGATTTTTTAGATGCTCAGATTATTAGCTCATTTTGTTGTTTCTCCAAATTAACTAAATCTGCAATAAAAACACTTGCTTACATGATGTCATGCTTGTGAATGAAAAATTGGATCATCAAGCAATTAGCTTCCATCTTCTTGAGAAGCGCTCTATTCCAATTGGACCGTTTCGATGGTTCACTACGGTGCCAACAATGACTATGCACAAATGTGTTGGTTTAAACTATGAATCTATATAAAAAGTTCATAGTTTATATGATCCGATAAGTCGTTGACATTCTCCCATATGATCCGATAAGTTTGAAGCGCAATGCACGATATATTTCGATATTGATTGCTAGACTACTATATTGCTTAAGTATTGACAAGCGAGATCGTTGTTTGTATTTAGCCTTGTTTCATGCTTTTGCAGGCTGATTTGTACGCCCTCTACTATAGTTTATCTAGATGATACTTTGGGTGAGGCGATCGATTGTTGTCGTTGACTACCGCAAAAGGACCTGCTTTCTACAACAAATTACAGCCAAATTCAGGTTAGATCATGCTCAAACAATAATATTGAACTGTTACAGTCCAGCATCAGCTAGGTCTCACAATATGATTCAAATTGATCATGATTATCTTATTTTTTACCTACCTGAAGCGAAATAATACACTCAAATAATGAAGCTTCAGATTTGGCTCCATGCTCCAGTAATATACCTCATTCAGACATACATAAAGCAATTTGTTATGTGTGTCACATAATTACGCTTCACAACTTATGGCCATGAATTGTTGGCCCTTTCCTGTATGACCTGATATGTTTTAAAGCATAGTACACAAATTATTTCGTTATCAATTATTTGACTGCTACACTGCTTAGGTAATGACAAGCAAGATTGTCGTTTAGATTTAGCCTTGTTTAACACTACAAATTGCGACAGCTCCTCGTGCGGAAGCCCTATCCACATCGCTCTAAATTTCCCTGGCCGTCCGATCTCGCATTCGACGGTCCAGATCGCTTGAAGCGGCTTCTCGCACACGACCGATTCTCTTGTTTCTGGTTAGCTTCTCCCCATTATCCTCCGCTTCTTGTAGGAATCCGGAAAACCAAATATATACTACGGCTCCTGATTCTTCTTCTAGATTCTTCCCTCCTCTCTCTCTCTCCCTCTCCATCCCGACGCGAACACGGCGACGGGAGCGACCGGGGTGCGGCGGCGGCGGCGGCCACCCTCCTCCTCCGCTCTCCTCGCTTGCCTCTCACCTCCGTCTCTCCCTCTCTCTCTCTCTCTCTCTCTCTCTCTCTCTCTATCCCCTTCCCTCCTGATGCGGCGGAGGGCGCGCGAGGCGGCGGCGGGTGCCAGGCGACGGCGCCCCTGCGGGCGGTGCGCTGGCGCGGGTGGGGCCCAGCTGCCCTCCTACCTCTCCCCTATTCTCCTCGACGTCGCCCCGTAGTGTCGTGGCTTCTCCTGTGCTCCATGAAACCCTAGGTGCCTATCTCTTCCTCTCTCTCTCTCCCTCTCTCTCGATCTGTTGAACAATCGCCGTCGCATGTCGCCGTCTTCGACCAAACTGTGCTAGATCATGCGTGTCTACTCCTGATTTAGGATTCTATATGTCCAGGATCTTTTCCTTTTGTATTGATTCAATTTTTGTTTTCACTATTGATTTTTGTTTCAAGGATCTAATGGGGATGTGTTGTCTATTTATTTTTTGTGTGCCAACTAATGTGCCTACGTGTCTTAGTGATGATGCCGGCTCCCCCTTCCTCCTCTCTACAAATTGTTAGTTGATAAACCATTTTCAATATGCAACAGAACCGGACCTCCTCTAAAGAAGAGAAGACTGTGTAGATGCATCGGCAATTCATATCTTACTTAACCATCCGTAACTTTGCGTGATGCTGGTTCTTACCAGTTAATTGACAGTGTAGGTTAGATTGGCTAACATGATATTTACTACAGTATGTACCATCAGGCTGTGTCACATAAATGATCATGTTTGATTTTGTGCCAGCATTCAAGAATGCTAATTCAACATCTTTTGGACAGATATTTGAATTACCCTCTCATTTTGCTTTGGATTTGATCTTATGAATTCACTGTTGCTGTGGATCTACAGGTTCCTTAGCCATTCTTCAATTGTATGATTATTCCATCCAATATTGTCCCCTACAATATCCGTCAGCTCCACCACCAGGAAAATTTCTCCGGAAGCGGCTTCTCGTGCCCACCACCCCTTCTGCTTGGATTTGGTTATGATCGGATATTCTCAGCATCTGCCATTTGCCATTTTTCCCTTCTTCAGCCTGCGATGAAATTTACATACCATTGCTCAAGGATATGATCTGATGTTCATTCGCTTGTGAGGTACTGGGCATGACCTGCTACGGATATTATGCAATTCCTCAGAGTAACCCAGTTGTCGGCATGCCTTGAAGCTTCAAGTTGATAAACAGATGGTGACTGGTATGTTTCTGAGGCCTCTAAAAATCCCGCCTTCTTTGAAAAAAATGTTACCTTCTTCGTTGCCGCAGCAGAAATTTTACAAACCTTTAAAACAACGTGGTGGTTTGCAAACAGAAATGTCACTAGGAATTACTATTATTTATGTCATAGTTTTCTCTGATCTATATAGGCGCTGCAGTTGTATATCCTATTTCTATAGCGCTTTCCACTCTATTTTTTTCATTTCTTTCTACTTTGGTCAATTGGTTATTCCTATTTTTTGGCATCTCTTTCTACCTACTCTGTTTTGTGTATTTTTGAGGCACCAATGACAGTTGCCTGCTTACTTGCTTATGATCACTGCCTGCGAATTCTTGCTAATCGCTAATTGGGTTTGGGTACTGCGATAATATTGCCTGCTGAGGACCTTGTCGACAAGATCACAAGACCAAACTTAGTGGATATCTAGGTGAGTACAGCCATCAACTTCTATATGTTGTTTCTCCACAGAAATATGCTGCTTGGGTGCGATGCGCGCTTTCCTACTTAGCTTCTTCTTGACCGATGTTCCCATATGATAGCCATTGCATAAATAAGATTATCCATTCACATTTTATTTTTAGGTACAA